AGGCACACCCACTTCAGACTTGTCATTTGTTCACGGCCTTCAAGTCGCGGCATCTCTGTAGTGTTCTCTGTTGCCTCACAGTCGTCTTATTTGTCACTTTGGGTGACAATTGACTCGCAGAGTTGGGCCTTTGGAAAGGGCTCAAGTTCTTTCCTTTTTGGAGCCAAAGAGGACGAGGTGGACGACGACTGGCCAACGGGCTGCTACGAGATCGTGGCGGGCCCTTTTGAAGGCGCCTCAGATATGCCGAACACCCTGAAATCGATAGATTTTCAATGGTGACCCTGCACGAAATAGGGCAGGCCGCTGGTTTTTTGCCTCATCTGCCAGACCCTCGAACAATTCATGATTTGGCCCTAGGTCTCCTGAGCCTAACAACAGAACTGCCATGTCTCATTTGTTTGTTGCCCTAACGCGTGTATCCTTTGCCCTTCACTTCGGTTGCGACCTTGTCGGCACAATGACTTCCCCTTGCGAACGATTATTAGACCATTATTGTTAGCTCCCGCCGTTCATGAGTTGGATAGTGGCCAACATGATAGCACCCCGAGATCGAGGGAATGAAACAAGAACTGGCGAATCCCTTCCTTGGCCGAACTCATGTTAACTTTTGATGCCCTTGCATTGGATTCTGGCTTGTCCGAGCATCATCAGCCCTCCCCTATCCGCGCCAAACATGATGCCCACCCTCCCGGAAAGAAAGGAACATGAGAACAGTGCCAGCACATCTTGCTGATGGATTAGTTGATGCTACCTTTTGCCGCCCTTGGATTGGATGCTGGCCAAGCAAAGCGTTGTGCTGAGCCTCCCGCAAAACAAAGAAACACGGTTCTCAAGCTAACGGATCTTCCGAGGACAACTCATGCTAGTTCTTGCTCTTGAGTTGGATGGCCGGGGAACGCTCCTTTCTCATGTGAATTACAAGCGAGCTAGCCGGCCAGCCAACCAGCCAGCCGCAGATGCGGGTATTTCCGCTTGGGACTACACCTAGTTTGGGTATGTCTGAACGCCAGCGTCCTTGTTTAGAGTGGCTTGACACGCAGCCGTTTCATTATTTTTCTTTTAAAGGGAAAAGGGGAATGTATCTCCCGACAAAGCCGACGGGATCCCCTCTAAACGTGGGATGTACCCCCAATCAAAACTTGGATATGAAAAGAAAAAGCGCCAAAAGGCATTTGGAAGGGCCTCGAGGCATACATGGCGCCCTTATGATCGAGTGTGGCTCATTGCAGGGCCTTCGCCTGTTGCCGGCCTCATGTAAACAGGGCTGCTCACGGGTACAGCCAAAACATTCAATCCCGGAGCGTCCTGGCGGTTGCTTTTGCTTGAAAGCCAATGGCTCCTCCGCGGCAACTTTGTTTTGATTCTTTTGCCAGTTTCGAACACCTGAGGGCTGAAACAGGCCTAATAATTTTCAAGCAACCCACGCGAATCCAATACTTTTTGCTTGTGTGATTTCTTACCCTTCTGTCATTTGGATGGGTGTTACTATTATCGTCATTGCAAGTCGTGGGTACTTTTGAGAATTTTGAGAGGGAGCGAGACCCAAGCCCTGCGCCTTCCTGGGTTCCTGTGGTGTCATCTTTGGTTCCTACGACGCCCATGGTTTGGTGACGCAATTTGTGCCATAGCATTTGGTTTTTTGGAGTTGGGGATATGGGTCCTTGGTTTCCCTTTAGAAACAAATCACACCAAAAAGGGTACCGAGCCTCAAAAAAGCCGACAATTTAAGAAGTCTTTCATCACCCCCCCCCCCAAGATACCCTCAAAGAAAACCACCATGGATTCTTTCGTTGCTTCACTTGCCGAAGGCGCGTACTTCAACTCCGCCAAGCCGGGAATGCCCGTGGAGGGCGTGCCCTCGCTCTGCCGCACGCTGCCGGCCGCCGCGCCCGCCACGGATGGGCGCTGCTCCGAGCACTACAACCTCCGCAACGGAGGCGCCCTCTGAACGCGGCAAGTCCATGGCACGGTTCGGCTCAAGTGCAGATGATTGGGATTTGACAGAAACCACCATCAGATAATCTTTGGGATTTGATACACATCAAGTCCCAATAAGTTCCTGCACATTGGATTCCCATACACGATCTGTCTGCGTCTTTGAGTGGCATTGCATAGGCGTGGGCATCCCTTGGCCCCTATCACGCTATCCTGCAGTGCGCCAGTTTCAAATTGTTTAACAGGTTCACTGCTCCAAGACTAAGCTTGACTTGACTTCAGATTCATTTGTGTAGGAGTTTAAGTTGATGTGTCTGAGCAATCCCGCCAAGGATTTCTTGACTGAAAAGGCGACTGTGCTTATTCGAGTTGAGTTGAACCCAGAGATGCTCGAATCTTGCCCCGACTGGGATGCAAGGCTCTTAGTTTAGGCGTCAGTTCCACCCCGTGAATCGGCATTTAGTTCCTCGTTTGGTTCACATTTCGGGTCATGAAGCTTTCTGAAAACACTTCGCGGTTACCCTCCCTCCGTGGAAAAGGACAGGCCTCCAATAGCCTCACTCGAGGATGTGAGCTGAAGCTGCCTTTCCAGATCCTTGCCAGCGGCAGCCAGTGCCCCCAGGAGGAGAAGGTGAGGTTTCCTCATGCCTGCGGCTCGCTGGCATTTGAGCCATGCGCCGAAGGTCAGGGACATTCTCATGCGGAAGCGATCGCTTGACAATTCCTGAATGGTGTTGGGTCGTGGCTCAAATTGGACCAGGCATGTCAGAGGGCGTGTGGAGGATACGATGGCTCCTTGACAGTCATGCGCTTGGTGAGGCGCTTGGACCGCTCGCATGCACTCACAAGCACACAGGCACAAATGCAGCAGCAAATAGACAAGTACTACTTCACACCATCTTACACTGACTTTCACCACCATACGCCAACTTGCATGCAGGCATACACATATGTCCCAATATGGACACGACATTTGTCTTGGGCAGCAGGTTCACGTATCTGTGTGCGCGCGAGCGCGCGCGCACGGGTTTGTGTGTGTGTGTGTGTCTATGTGTGTGTGTGTGTGTGTGTCTATGTGTGTGTGTGTGTGTGTGTCTATGTGTGTGTGTGTGTCTATATATATGTGTGTGTGTGTGCGTGTGCTTGTGCTTGTGCTTGTGTGCGTGTGTGTTTGTATGCGTATGGGTGGGGCCGTGCCTACCTTGAAGTTTCTGCTGTGCGGGCGGGCGTGCGAGCACGTCTGGCCAAGGTGTATGGAACCAACGGATTAGTTCCACTCCGTGTATACTTGGGCATTTGCGGCTTTGTGCTTTTTGTTCTTCTGTTTTGGCCCAAGTTGACTGTTGGCATGCAGGGGGCGCACCTGCTCACTTAGTTCCTAGCGCTTTTGACTCTGCGATTGTCAACCCTTTTCTGATCTGTGATGTTGCGGCAGACTCTCGTTGATGAAATATGGTGCGTCCTTTTTTCGAGGGTACCCTTTTTTGGAGCCATAAAGGAAACCACCACGGTTGGGAGGTTGTTGGGAGGTTCCCAAAACAAACACCCATATGCTGCCATGGGTTGGTCTATCGTTGAAGGGGGCAAGGGTCAACGTGAGGTTTGCTCGCGAGAGCCAAGGCATGCAGGCGGCAGACATCTTGGGCGTCATGTATGGTGGCCACAGCAACAGTATGCACCACCCATATGGGTGCTACCAGGATTTCGAAACCAAAGAGTTGCATTTCAACTCTGAAAACGGCGCTGTCAACAAGGACGCCGGCGTAGTATGCCAGCAGCGCTTTTCCTTCAGCGTGACTCGGCCAAGTCGGTCTCCGGAGGTGCCCCCTTTTCTTGCTGGTGCTCAGCAGGGAATAACCCAGAGTTTTGGGAATGGACGTAAGGATTCCCTTAAAGGAAACCACAGGGGATGGTGTACATGGGTCATTCCTTCATCTGCTGAGAACCAGCAAGTTTTGTTCTGTTCTGACATCTTGAGCGCTCTTGCTGACCCCTCGGAGGTGGTGGATCCCCGCCTGACCTACACTCTGTCCACCTTGCGCTTCTCCCAGGACGGAAACGCCGTGCTCTTCTCCATCATGGACTCGGAAGCCCTAGGGCAAGAGTGCGATATGGCCTATGGTAGACAATGGTGCAAGGAGCGGGGGCTTTAAGAAGCGGCTGGGCAAAGTCGGGCCGCTGGGTATGCGAAGGCTCAACGAGGCGATTGTTATGCTTAGGAAAAGGTATGCTCATTTGATATCAAGGTTAGAACTTAGAACCCACTTCTGCGCTGCCAGGGAGTTTTCCCGATGAAGTTGAAGATTTCGTCACAGTGATCATTTCTTATTGATGATTCTGGTTGATACTGGCATTTGAACTGCTTATGGTTGTCAATGGTCCCCCAACGATGGAACCAAAACACCTCTAAACCCCTATTGGCATGGGGGCTGAAAAATCAGATCTTGGCAGTTGCTGGCAAAGCACGAGCCGGACAAAGCGCTGCTGAATGCTGATAGCTTTGGGTACTACGTGCTGGACGCTGGCATGCCTGACATATGATGGATCAACATGGAACCCCAAAAGGTGGCCCCAAAAAATCAGATTCCTCCGATGAGTTCTCCTATGGGTTCCATGTTGGCTCTTCCGAGATTTGTTTCAATCCGATTCGCGTAATACAGTGTCGTTTTTTGTCCACCCCCCCCTTGGGGGTTGCTTTCAATTCGCGCCAGAAGCCTAATGTGAGTCTCTAGAGCTTTCTGTGAGTCCAAGACTCTCCAGTGAGTGATGTCGAGTTGCTCTCAAAATGAGTGTGCCTGCCCCTTGCCATAGAGGCTTTAGACTGGGCAGTTTCACTCGAAATCGGTAGCACTCTGCACGGCTGGGCGCCTTTCCCGCGTGTTTTCACAAAAGAGAGATGCACTCACCGTGGGTTTTCGCAGAGCTTCGACATCGCTCAATTGGCTTGCTTGAAGTGGCTTCCTAAATCTCCATGTGTTTCTTTTGGTCTTTGCAGAGTTTTACCTCAAAATAGATGAGAGTCGTGAGGTATAGACATTCGCCCCAGTTCGCTTGCTTCGAAGGCCTTGGTGGGGTACGCTGACAAGAAGTCTGGGCGCATGGCTCTGCACTGGGCTGCCAGCCCCTCTGGCTGAAGCGGGGAACAGGGTGTTGAACGTCAACCTGTGTCAGTGTGTGTGTGTGTGTTTCTGTTGGGGGGGGATCCTTGAATTGGTTGAAGTTTGGATGCTTCCTGAATGCTTTCCTGCAATGTTCACGACCTCCGCTGAATGAAGACAGATTCAAAATAACGAGCTGCATCCAGCATTTGAGGGCATGTTGTTGCCACACCGTCGAATTGAGTGGTTCGTCGCCCTCTGAAGTCTCAAGCCAACTATCTGAGGACAAGGCAAGCTGGAGGTCGTGCAGTGGATGCTTGGCGCATGATGACTGGCTGGATGCGTAACTCTGCTGTAGCTCTTGCTGGGCGAATTATTTTCGGGTTCAGCGTTCCCAGACTTGCAACAAGAGGAAGGTCCAGAAGTCTGATACTGCAGTTTCCTGCACTATCTCCTTTTGTTTTGATTGAACGTATGTCGATGCTGGTGCTGGGCGGAAGATCTCTAACTCGCTTGTTGACTTGGCAAAAGTCATTTTTTCTGGACAGGTTTGTTGCTCATGCTAGCCAAGGCTCGAAAACTTCATGCTTGTGTGGCCTAGTCAACTCGGCAGGTCAGGAAAACGCCTAATTAGGCACCACATCTTGTGACTCCCTGCGAATCCTTCGGAGAAGCCACCGACAAAGAATCCAACCCAGGCTGCGCGAAACGGGATGGGATGTACTGGGCCACTAGGGTCTCCTTGTAACAGGCGCGACAGATGCGAAGAATCAACACGGCTTGTGAATGCCTTCAAGAGGCCAGGCTTCTACAAGCCATCTCAGTCAAATGTAGGAGCAGGAGCCCTGGAATGTGCGAGCAACATGTGAACAAACCACCTTAGGAGCGAAGGATACATACCCTGCATGAATGTTTGATCAGTTCGCCAACCCCAATCCTAATAACTGCCAAGGGTCCAAATGAGGTGTTGGTCATGGCTTGCACCAAAACCACTGTGTGCAACCTCCAACCATCGCATGTCCTCTCACATGGAAGGGATCTTATGCAGCAGAAAAAAAAAAAAAACATTGTTTACAAAGATCCAGTATCCCCATTTCAGGCTTTGTCTGCTTGACTTGTTGAGAATGTCGTTGTGCTCCAAACCTGCACGCACTCAGGCTCGTGCTTGAGCATGGCCTGCCGGTGGACGCTCAAACGAAGGACTCACATGCCAGTTCTCCGGGCGTGCGAGGGTCAATGCAACCCGGACCTTCTGACAGGGTTGCGCATGGTGCAGGTGTTGAAGCGAGTCCTTTTGAAAGCAGATTGGCAACCCGGGCTTGCATCAATTGGACAGCAGACATTCCCAACCCGATGGAGCTCAAGTTTGCAGCAAGCTAGCGATCAAGCAAGCGCTGACGCAACTGGGTCACCCTACAGATTCCTCTTTGCTCAGTTTGAGCTCGAGAAGCTGTACGTGGCAAGACGCAAGCAACCCTTTGGGACAACATCACACAGTCACTCTTGTCATTCCTGAGAGAAATCTGTCTGCCCACAACAGCATCTTGACATATGTACAATAATCTGGCAGTGACCCTAACATCAATCAGCCAAACCGTGTCCGGGCCCTGCGCTGCATACAGATAGGGCACGGTATGTGAGCAACTGACAGTATTCTTGGTAGTCCATCGAATCCCTCACTTCCCAAAGCCCCCACAAAGTGATTTGGGGCCCACCCGCTGCATGATTCCATTGGTGGGTGGGTGGGGGGGTCAGAAACAGGTGTGGTTTCCCTTTCTCCAATCACTTAGGGGGTGACTTTGATACTACTGGTTGAGCAATTGGGCCAGCTGGCGTATGCAAAGAGTGCTAAGAGAGAAGCAGGTAGAATCCACACACACCTGAAGCACCCGCGAGGATTGTACCACGCCCTTCCAACTGGGAGCTTGGGGTGGACACGTGGAGGTCTGCCAGTGGTTGCTGCTGAAGAAGGCAATCGCGATATGGGAGGGTGGGGTAACCAAAGGACCACCACCAAAACAAGGGAGGTTCCTTAAGGAGCCACGCGATCCTCAATGTTTGCGTACTTTCCGTTCATTGAGACAATAGAGGTCATCCTAGAAAGAATTACCAAAGGACGGCCCCATGGCCTGCCACTTTTGCGACAGGAGCATGTTGGTGAGGCGACAGCAGGCACGCCTTGTGGTTTCGACAAGCTTAATTGCCCAATGCAACATCCACCTTTTATCTTGTTTCCAGTCCCGTCTTTTCAGAGTCAGGACTCCACAAACGGGGCACCGCCAAGATGAACTGACACGATTAGTGAGATTTGCAGGCCTTCACCATAGGCCATTGCGTTTGTTGTGTTGGCAGTGGAAGCATTTGAAGTGAAATGCCACGGAACTCTAAGAAATGCAAACCAACTGTCAATGTCTACAGAGGGAAGCTCGGACCTGGCTTGGCTTCAAGCAGAGGTTTGCTTGCATTTCCCAGACCGCCTCGAGGAATCAGGAGGCGCCACAACGTCGGGGGCAGGTGGAATTCAGCCCCGGATGGGAATTGACTTGGGAGTCACCAAAGTAACCTCGCGCAGGCGGACCTGTGGCACCAGAACTCTTGGAGCTGCCTGGCGCATCACTTTGCAGCACTGGCAGGCGCAGGGCATTTCCACCGGACCGGTTCCGATACCCAGCTGGCATTCCATTCAAGGTTTAGGGAATTGGTCTCCTTTTCTGGCCTGCTGAAATCTCAAACATTTTGGCAACCTTGCCGAGTTTCCTCAGAGCAATGACAGTAAAGGTACTTGGAACCCGTTTCGCAGCTCCTTCCCCCGTCTTTTTTGCCCTGTAGGCATGGAGGCGTGCTGCCGCTGGCTCCGGCAGCAGGGCTTGGACCTGGGCACGCCCAACAACCAAGGATCCTCGCTTAGTGAGCCACACGTCACCAAAACAGGAATCCGGCCGTGGAACGAGATATTTCGGGGTGGCAAACAGGCGCAACATTATTCGCCTAGTTACGCATGCCCCGTTTTATGCGGCTGTGAGCCAGAATTTCAGAGTTTTCAACATGTAGGGTTTCAATGAACAAATCGAGCAACACAGAGGCCCTTGCGCGTTCTATTGGTAGTTGGAGGAATTTCGTCAAAGAAGTGTTGAGGGGACTTGAACCGCAATCCCTCACCGCGGCTGATCAGGCCACAATGCCTTGCACAAGGCTGCCTATGGCGGCCATGCTGCGCTCTGCCAATGGCTTCAGGAGAGCTTGCACGCTGGCTGGGAAACGATGGCTGGGAAACGCAGGCCGAATGGTGTTGCTTCTTTCTTCGATGTGTGAAGTACCTTGTTCTAATTTCCCAAAGCTTCTAGTCTAACTTGCTGAACGAGGCTGCCTTTATCCTAGCTTGAGTGATACTGTTGGAACGGCCTTAGGTGAATCCACGCAACACGTGCCAACTCGCATGAGACCAGCCGACAGCCATGCTGCTTTCAAGAAAGTGTTCACGATGCAAGGGCTGTACCTTCCTGGCGAGAAAAATGTTCTAACCAATTCAGAGCAGCATGTAGGCGTGTCTTTCTTTTGGGGATCCGCTCAAATGGTGGCTTTTCCCCTTGTCCCCTTAAAGCCACCAAGAACCCAAGCACGGGACGCCCTTGAAAAAGACACGCCCTCGTGCGAATTTCCATCCTTGTCAGGATGAAGTGGATCTGGACCCCGCGGAGTGTGACGTGAGGCCATGAAGGGCTCCGCATGAACGTAGCCGCTATCGACTGCCACTCTCGTGCTTGTCCCTTCGAGCACCGCACTCAAAAGGCACGATCCAAATGTCCCCATCATTTTGCGACGTCGCAAGACAGGCCCATGAGGCCCATGTGTCTTGTGTCTTGTGCTAGGGGCCAAAATGCCGCCGCCCTTGCGAGAAAGGCGGGCTTCGAGGCGCGGAGCTAGCGGAGTGGGAAGGGCCTCAGGTGAGGAGTGACTTGCCAGGACCTTGCACAGCGCTTGGAGCAAGCCTGACCGGAAGTCTACATAGCTCAACGAGGAAAGCTGGCAAGCCGGCTAGCCATGGCCTTCAAGCCCAAGCACAACATCTTCCATGCTAGCTGGCTGCATGGGACCGTTTGAGTGGGTGTGGCGGGAGCTTCTTGATTGGGGCTGATTGGGGCGGATCACATTTTACAATGAATGACACGCTTATCCAAAAGCCTGCCTTGAGAATTCTATCTGAGGCAGGCGCTGTACATAGACAAGGACAATGGTCCCCAACGTCAACAAGAAAGGAAGAACTCCTTGGACACATGATTGCCAATCTATATTGTCAAACAAATCTGTCCAAAAGTAAGAGTTGCAGCCTATTTTTTTTGGAAAACGCACCATATATATATATATATATACACACATTTCTATTAAAACAAACAATATGTTTATAATGGAATGATCGTAGCAGTGTCATTTGATACATCACCAATGTGTGCCAAAATGGCTTGCCATTTTGGAGTTATCTTCCCTTCGCTCAACCATGTCTCGCTCCGATGCCAGCCTGAACTCCTCCGAGTTGTTTGAGGTCACCCTGGTGACGGAGAAGGAGGCAGCCGCACAGGCAAGTCAGAACGCCTGCGGGTCCAGGAGGCTGAGGCCCGCCTGGCCATTGACGCCCTCCTTGAATGTGTACGCCCACCGACACACCTTCAAGTGCATTTATGCAGCCTGGTGTGCCATGCCCCTGGCTGTCTGCTACGACAGCCAAGAGCACAGCAAAGCGGGCTGCGAGGAACTTTGTTCGGGAAGTGGGCCTGCCTGAGCCGAAGGTGGCAGCTGATCTTGAGAGGACATTCAAAAATCATCGCGGAGCGGAACGCCTGTCGGAAGATCCACGGCATGGCACCGTCGCATCAAAGTATTGCCCAAGGACTGCAGCTGGGCGGAGAATCGTGGGTGAACGTGCTCAGCTTTACTGGGGCTTTTATTCCCCATATAGACTGGGATTGTGTCTTTGAGAACGACTTGATATACGGAAGGGAAAGATATTTAAAATATATTAAAAATAGATAGAATAGAATAGATAAATTGATAAAATTACTATAACACAAATAAATAGATAAAATAGGTGAATGAATTAGAAGAGATTGGATAAAATTAGAATAGATTGGAATAAACAAATAGATTGGGAATATATAAATAAATACATTGATAAATAATTAAATCTAAATATATAAATAAATAAATTAATATATATATATATAAATATATAGATATTAATAGGAAAATAAAAATATTATTTTAAAATAATAATATGAAAGAATAAATATATTATTGTGGATTTAGAATTATTAGATATTTTAAAAATATATTTCGAGGAATGGAAGGGGCTTATCGTTTGCTTTGTGGTTGGGGCTTGATTTACATAAAACTATTGAACAATTATAATATAATAGGTAATTTATTATAAATTTTTAAATCGAGATTTACGAAAATATTAATTATGAATTATATTGATAAAACATATCTTAAATATATATTTTTTTTTTTGTAATATGAGGTAAATAAGAAAATAGGAACAATGGTAAGGAAAGAAAAAGGAAAAAAACAGAATGAAAAGAAGAAAACGGAATTAAAAAGGGGGATATGAGGCATATGGTAACGCGATAATATACTATTTTTTGTGAATCGATTTACAGAAAAATAATAAGATAAACACAAAATAGATATAAATATCCTAAATAGATAGATATAAATACACGGAAATAAATGAAGAAACACAAAAAAATATAAGGAAATAGAGACGAACAATAAACACGAATAGAAACAAACAAAATTTTTACCGAAATAATCCGAGAGATAGAAAGACACAAATAGACAAATAGAAATAAAGAGATTTAAACACCAAAAAGAAACAAATTGGGATATATAGAGCTACACAAAAATCGACAGAGATTACGAAATAAATAGATATGGATATACGGAAACAAATTCCGAGACACAAAGAGAGGCAAAGATACGAAGATATCCGAGACGAAATTTTCGAGAAATTTCGATTCGGATAATTTAAAAGAATATATCTGTTTTTTGTATTCTATTTTTTGAAGATAAAATAAACTATTCCTATAAATCGGTTATGTTTGTGCCGAGCTTTTCTCCGCGGCACAAGTTTCCGCTTCTTCGCGTAACCTAGAAGATCCCGAAATTTTGCGAAAATTCGGGAGATGTTTAATAGTTTTGCTTAGAATTCCAATATAACCCGGTCAAATTTTTCCCGAATTTTGGGCCCACAAATGTCTTTTAAATTTGTCGGCTTTTCAGACAAAAAATACCGGACCAAATTTCGGGGAAATCTGAATAAAAAATCATATTTTAAATTATTTTAAATATAAAATAGTATTATATTAATGGGGGCCCGTTGCTCGTGCGAAATAAAGCCCATGGCAGGAGATAGAGCATAAAATAAAAATATATTCCAATTTAATAATTAGATAGATATACGCAATTATACTCACAAAGATAAAAATCGGCAAACCGAGCAACGGTTTCGGAATATTTCGAAAACATAAATAATTATAATGTTAAAAGTTTGCCTTAAATATTACCCAAGCAAAACATTTCAAAAGATTATATATTATATTATACTAAAAACCTAATTCTACAAATTCAAATATCTATTAACGAATTATAACATTATAACCTCAATTGCCCGATATCAATACAAAACCATCGCTTAAATTAAGGAACTTCAAAAAATCCATACCCATAAATAATTATTATAACAATATACAAATTAATAATGTATTTCAAATATCCAATACCAATAAATCAATAAAAAACAATCGCCTAAATAAAAAATAATCATAAGAATCAATTCCTATATTCTTAAAAAACAAATACAATATTTCAACCAAAAAAAAAATAAAATATTTAAATCAATTATTAATCTATCCTCCCAAAAAATATTCTTCATAAATATATTCATTCCATAACAAACCATATAAACCTCAAAAACCAAAAAATACAATTCCAATTTTAAAACAAATCATTCCACTCCTCTTAAAAAAATGTTCTTATACCTTCATAAATCAAATTTTCGGGCTTCATATCCCAATAACACCTATTATTAATCTCCATCATAAAATTATTCCATTTTTTTCAAAAAACCTAAATAATATCATTTCAAACAAAAAACAAACCAACAACCAAACAAACAAATAAACAAAAAGACAAAAACAAAAACAAAGACAATAACAAAAACAAGCACACAAACAAAAACAAAAACAAAGACAAAAACAGACACAAACACACAAACACACAAACACAAACACACAAACACACAGACACACAAACACCCAGACACACAAACACACAGACACACAGACACACAGACACAAACACGCAGACACAGACAGACAAACACACAGACAGACACAGACAGACACAGACAGACAGACAGACAGACACAGACAGACAGACACAGACAGACAGACACAGACAGACAGACAGACAGACAGACAGACAAAGAACCAGAGACAGAGAGACCAACAGACAAAGAGAGACACAGAAAGACACCGACAGAGAGACAGACTCCGGCGCGCAGCGCGCCGGATTCTGGTGTCGACGTGCCACAGGCTTCGCCTGCGCGCGTGCACGCGTCCGACTCCGAGCCCGAGAGCCGTGATGCAGACGGGCTGCAAGAACGTGCGTGCGAGCTCTCGGCTGCGCGTGCCCCTGTTGCACGCGGCCGCTGGCCGCTTGTCCCCTGGCAACGGTTTGTCGCGCGCTTGTCTCGGCGCTGCCCCGCCGCTCTCCTTGCCCTCCACGACGGCTGTATTCTGGCCCGCGGACAGGAGGTGGTTGCAGGTTTTCGGCGGCCTCTTTGCCCGGTTTGGATTGGTAGTTTGGATCGGCGTTTTGGAGGTTAGGGGATGGTTTCCCATTCAACTTCAACATAATCCAGGGGTTCAATCCCCAAACCACCAATCCAAACCAACAATTAGGGGTAAGTTGAGGCGGGCGCCAAAACAGGGCCAAGCTCTCAGGGGCAAGGCCCAGGCCGTGGTGGGTGTGCCAAGAACAGAGAAAATCTTATAGAGCCCGCGCCGGCAAGACATTTCTTGCAACTCAGGCATCTTTATCATCTCATATGTGTCAAAAAATGTATACTCGTCGCATGCGAAAGCATGCTGCCGTTCTCCAAACACAGGTCGCGAGACGCACTGAGGGCCGGGCTGGTCGCGATAAGGTCACGCCAAAGAGTCAGTGAAAGGCGGTCGCCTGAGCAAGGTGAGAACGGATCCGCGGGCTGTTGGCCTCAAAAGATCCACACACGCAGTTGTTGCAAGCGCAAGCGACAACTCGATTGACCAAAAAATATCCTGGGTGCAAGCAAAGCCGAACTGATTTCGCCCAAAGCATTGGGAAACCACCACTAGTCGCAACAATCGGCCGCGGCTCACAGCTTCTCGCATCGCCAAACTCTCGGAAGATAGGCCAAGATTTCAGCCAAAATTGTTACGGACAAGCAGATATATGCCCCGACTCTTTATCTGCAAAACACAACGGCTTCATTCAAAGCCCGAATCATTTTTCCGAAATATCCGGGATATTTCGATAATCGCATTCCAAACCATTTTTCCGAAATATTCCGGATATTTCGACGACAACATTTTCCGAAATATTCCAACCCGAAATATTCTAATTTCGGGGAATATTTCGGGGGAATATTTCGGGAAAATGATCCCCGGAATATTCGGAATATTTAAAGAAAATTGTGGATAACTACGATTCCCGGACCGCTTTCCCGAAATATCTAGAATATTTCGGGAAATTGGTCCCTACAAAAATTCAAATCACTATGTCTTCCACACATATACCGGAATAGCCCGGCCAAATTTAGGCAAGCGATCCGTAGGAAATATAAAGCGGTTACATCTTCCAGGAGCAATCCAAACCAATTTTCCAAGATTTTTCAGAAAAACGGTTCGAAAAAACGCGCATAAGTACGACGAGCAGGTTTCACGGTTTCGTTTTATAGAGTATTTATATATATATATATATTTATCAATCATTCTGTATATAAGAATATATTTCTTTAAAACCAATTATATATATATGTTAATTTCCTTTCATTTAATCTTTATTTTAAAAACACATTTAATATAATCTTCATATATAAAACAATATTAAATTAAATTAAATAAATTTCATTTCCAACATTTATCTTATTGTTTATTTTAACATATCTCAATTAAATATTATAAATCAAAATTATATTATATTATTAGAATAACTTAAAATATATACAATCATTAATTTTAAAGAACCATAAATATTCAATACAAAATAAATACAACATATTAATCTACTATTATATAAACCAACTAACAAATAATTACAAAACGAATTATACAACGCACTCATAACGATTCACAGACTCGTCTGTTGCACAGAACAGTAGTTACGAGCCTCTGATTGAAAGAGGCAACGTAAGGATTAACTACATTGTATTTAGCTCAGCTTCGCAACTTTCACGAGTGCGGCTTCTTCCCATAACAGTACAAACCCTTCCGCGAAACTTCCGCGAAACTTCCGCTCGCCCTTCCACGGTCTCCGCGACCACAGCGCCGTAACACAAAATATGCTTTTCCACACGTGGTTTTGGTCGATCCTCATATGTTAGTTCATGAATATGAACATTGAGATGATTCATTGAATCTTTTTCTTCGTCGACAATCATCATCATCATCATCATCATCATCATCATCATCATCATCATCATCATCATCATCATCATCATCATCATCATCATCAGCCAACATTCTTCAAGCCTCAGTTGGCGGGAACCAGCTCAGGCCCCAGCGGGTGATGTGCATGGTTCAAAATCAAAAGTTGTCTAAGGGCACAATCAAAGCATTGCAGAAAGGCATGGGTGAGGCAGTATGGGTGCAAGCAAACGCTAGGTTTCATCATGAGATAGTGAAAGGTACTCATGTGTGAGAACCCACCGAACGGCATTGCAAAACGGTATTGCAACTCTGGGTGTAAACATAAATCCAATTTCCCCGAGTCTTTTCCACCGATCAAGCATTGGTTGGGTGCCAAGGGGTCCAAAAACAACCGGACCATTGTGGCGAAGCGGCCCTCGCCACTCTTTGGAGGCTCGCTGGGCTGCCTCGGGCGGGCGCTTGGCTGACTTAAGCCCCTGCTAACTTGGAGACATGGCTTCCCCAAGAATATGTACTAAGACTACGGTGCTCGGAGACACTTGGTTTGGACCATCAAGCTATTGAGATAAGCTTCCCAAGCAGACCGTGCCTTTCTACACTTGGTTTGTCATTCTTGTTGCCAGCGTAACTGGGCGGAACGTCCGAAATTCCAACCAAAGCAAATTGAGAGCCTGGCCGCCAAGCTGCAGCCTGGCTTTGCAAAAAGTCTAACGAGCAGGGAGTGTCCTATAATATTGGACTCATTTCTAGATGTTTCTAAACGGAAACCAACAGGAAAACAGTTGTGGGGGGCACGCTGGTATGGGTTTGCGGGCAGAACTCTGCATCAAGAGCTTCACACAGCTATGTCAATAGCACCAGTGAGGGGTCTCCCAAGTCAGGAATCCATATCTGTTGGGAGGGCAAACTGTTCCTTGCGTTCGCGCAAGAGCCGGGTGCTTCATTGGCTTAACTCAAGCCACGATTGATGGTCGCCGCACCACCAGCTACACCGCTTTTTGAGGAGATGATGTCTCCTCGGCGAAGGCAAAGGCAGACAGCAGGAAGCCAACCTTGGCTTCTGCAACGCTAACAGACAAAACACTGCTGACCAGTTCCTCTGCAGCAACGTTGCATAAACTCTGCGAGTGCCAACGGCACCTCAAAGATGACATCTGATTCACCTTGATGGGAAAAGGGGTCTCTGTAGATTGCGCTTGATCCTTGACATGTTATGTCCCTCCAGTCCCTTGAGCTACCTATTCTGCTCCAGCCACAAAGCAGCATCCAGCAGCCGCACACGACGTGGTTTTACTGGTGGGATGGCATCCAGCTGGAGCAAGCCTGCTTGGGGCGTGCGACCCAGGTGGTTTTACTGCCTAGGTTGTAGTAAAGCCGTTTTAAACATTTATAATCATGCTGGTCGAACCAAAAATGAATGGGTTGTGGGCACTGCTCAATGTGGATCCAGAAGAGCACCATTGGCTGACGGCTATGAATCATGTGAGCTCAACTTTCCATCACTCACAACGCATTGACAGCAGTTCAACTCAGTTTCCACTAACGCAAGCTCAACCACCTGCTACAATGGCCCAGGGGGGGTTTGGCTGCTTGTACAGGCAATGTTCGAGATTGATATCACATTGTTGTTGGGTTTAGCATGGGATGGTAATGACGTGTACAGTAAAACACCCAGTGCCAGGTTCATTTCTGTTGCAGGCATAAGCTTGTCAACTGATTCGGAGAAACGGTGGCGAAATGTCAAGCTCAAGCCCCCCAAAGACTCCAACACGTCGAACGCCTGAAGACGCCGGGATTTCCCCACTTGGCCCCAGGCTATGCAAAGGCACAGGCCCAGGCTGTGAAAGCGGGTGTCCATGGATGACCAGCCTCTCAGACTCTCGCAGCTAGGACAGGTGCCAAGGGGCAACCTCTTGGTTTCCAAGGCACCTTTGCATCAGAATGTGCCCCAAATGCCTCGCTTTTCACAACCAGATTTCCGAGTTGAAGGCCATGAGTTTGACAGCTGCCCTCATCTTAAGTCCATGGCAAGCACCAAAGCAAAAGCCCGGTGTCCGGCGTCACTCTACGGTGCGCAAAGCAGTCAATTCCCTCCTGCACTTGTGAGATAGGCCATGGCCTAGTGGAACCCATGCCCGCATGGAAGATGTTGCCGTCAAGATCGCGTGCACTGCAGAGCAGGATAGAGCAGGTGGGTTTGCTAGCCAAATACAAGCCATGCATGAACCACTGCAGTATCCCTTAGGTCGCCTTCACGCGCACCCTGGAAACTACTTGCTTTGCAACCACTGGCATGTCTCCAAAGTAGTAAACCACTCCAAATGGCAGCAGTTGGCATCATGTGAGTTTCCTAACGTCCCGTTTCGCTTTGAGGCAGAACCCAGCGTGCCGTTGATGACCAGAAGAATGCCGCTCTCTGCAGCAGCCACCAGGACAGTGGTCGTGCCTGACGCGCAGCATGAGCCAAGGTCAAGACTCCTTATATGGCCTATGGTCATGGTTGCCTTCATAGGAACAATTTCAGTGGTTGAGAAGGATCTTTACCAGGTGGATCACCATCCCTGTCAACTCCAAGTTGCTCACACCATGCCAAGTGCTATTGGCTACTTTTGGGTGGCTCAGCTCAACTAAAGGAGGGGTGGCTGTGTTGGCTCTCCTGCTTCTTGCTTTTGGTACTTCCGAACAGCGCAAAAGTGTCGCAATGTTGCCAGGTGTTGACCGAGGAATGCCCATTGATGGATTCGAGAACTGGGACTCCCAGACTGAAGAGTAGTGTCAGCCGGACGCTTCGCGGCAAGCGCCGCACCTCGGCGCCTCGGCCGCAAAAAAACAGAGCGGAGAGCATGGCACAATTCTTCACAAGTGAATGCCAAGAAATACACCAACTGAACGGAAACACATTGGAGCTAGACAGGACTAGCATTTGAGTTGATTCGTGAACAGATCCAAAGCTCTCCCTGAGGGTCTGACTATGCAGCGCCTAGGCTCCCGCCCTTTTTGCGCAAGCGTGTCAAACGTGGCTTTTCCGCACCCTTCCCTGTCCTGCCTCGTGCAGTCCAAAGTGCCCCTATTGAAAATGACGTCCAAGCAATGGTGCAACAGTCTGCAGTGTGACAGTGGCAGGTCATTTTTGGGGGAGAGTCATTTGGAACAACAACTCCGTCAGCCCATGCTACGTGGCCTGGAAAGGCTGAAATAACTTATCCTGACGTCAGTATAAAAAGAGAAGAACCTCCTTTGTGCAAGTTGACTTGAAAGGGACATCGCCAACAAAACAAAGGACGGCACTGGACTGGGTGACATTTCCACCAACAGTACAGAACGAATCTTGAAGTGCCACAAGGCCCTGTCAGCCGCAAACCAGAATCTGTTCTTGATGGCTCCTCAGGCCGCGGGGGACGGGTCCAAACGAGCAAACCTCCCCCCTATGGGTGCATCTGAAAGGAACAACTAGACAACCAGTTTAACTCATACCCAAACGACAGTTCCCCAAATCGGTCTCTTCCAGCCAAACACGTGGCAAGAGGGACGACTCCATGCGCCGGCTTCACACGATGCGGGCCAGAGCAGCCTTGGAGTGGCTCGCGGCTGTGGCTCTGGTGACCTCAGCCTCAGAGCGTGACAGCAAGCAGGCGCGTTTGCCCATTGAGAGCATTTCCCCAGTACCATGTTTTCAGCATTATACACTGTACAGCCTTTTTGCAGTATAAGAGCAATCCAACCTGGACTTTGCACAATGCATACCATCACAAAGTGCAACCTTCAAAACCAAGCTCGAGGAAGCAGCAACTTGACACATTCAGGATCTCCCTGTAGACATGTTCAAATCAACAAGTGCACTCATCCTTTGTATCAATGTTGCAGTGTAAATGCCAAGTCCTTGAACTACTTGCCAAAATGTTCCGAACATGATGCATCCTAGCGCTCTGCAAGAACAAAGGTCTCCTTCTGAGGTCGGACCCTTTTGGGACTCTTGGAATTGGTTCTCATGGTTCGTTTGCATCCGACCGCAGCACGACTCTCTACGGCGAGCCCGTGTGTATCCGCTTCCCGGCACTCTGGCAAAAACAGAAGGTAAATTGTTGCCTCCACCAGAGACAGAGAGAGAAAGAGAGAGAAAGAGACAAAGAGAGAGAGAGAGAGAGGCCAGGCAACAGTGTACAGTTTCTCAATCGATTCTACTTTCTACCACGGCTTCCAACGCTGCACTGGCTCAAACACGCTGCAATGCCCACCAAGGCACTCCGACTTGAAACGTTGCGACAGCAGTGGTCGCCTCAAACAAGCACCTGGCAAGCTGCATTGCTCTTGGCCCACTGGTCCAGGCGGAGCGAAAAGAGCCCCTGCTTTGGCTTTTCCTTCTGAGCCGCCTTAGGCGGTAACGGCTTGTAACCAAGCCGGCAACACTGGTACAGCAGGATCCAGCCGTACACGGTCACTTGCCTGCCCAATACGCAGCCTGCCCTGAACTTGCTGAACTGCTTTCACACGATGCAACCATCAGGGTGACTCACTCGTCTGCAAACAAACGCGGTTTGCTGACATGTGCCGTGGGCTTCCACAAGCACAATTCCTGCGTCAACGCACAAAAAAGAAACCTACTTGCCTGGTGTCATCGGCTTGGGCCAATTGCAGCAGCAGCCACCCTGCTAGCAGCACTGAGCCAGTGACCTGGGCCAACTCTTGAGAAGTGAAGGGTATGAGTACCACAGTGATAAACACAATCCCTGTTATCATCACACAAGTGCATTGATGTCTATGCGCATCCTACCAAAAAGGCCTCTTCTTCTAAAACTTTGAACCAAATTTCATTGCGGGGCCCTGTACACTTCGAACCCATTACCCCGCAAAGTTGCAACGACCATAATGCCTTAAAGAGAAAACACCCCAGGATAAAGACAAATTTGGAGAAAGAGCCTCGGGATGCTAGAGGGAAGTCATCGAGGCCAAGCAACTAGAAAGTTCTTTAGACAACAACTTCAAGTATTTTGACAATGTACATGATGAGGAACAACTTGCCCAAGAGTTGGAGAAAACTGCCACAAACGACCTTCAGAAAGAGCACGCTCCTAAAGTGCTTAAATCCAGACGCAGGCTTGGGAGAATCCCTCAAATCACTCAAGAGCCAGGCTTCGAAGAAAACATTCAGGATAACCCCTCAAAATCGGAAGGCAGGATGCAGCATACAGAGAAGCACATTGACAGCGCAACACACCCACACACACACAAACACACACGCGAAGCTAAACAGGCTAAGCAAACTAGACATTGTGAGGACGCAATATGGACCAGGGAGGAGTCAAGGGGGGGAGAAGGGTATGGGAGGTGCTTCTTGCTTTGATCTGTTTGGCTTCTAGAGTCTACAAATAGTCCATTCGGCCAAGCACACTCAGGCGGGGAATCCGGCCATGGGAATCCGAGCTTCCCACCAGCAGAGAGGTGGCCCGCTGCATGGCAGCAGCCCTGCCGGCCAGCAAGGTCAGGACCTCATGACGGATCTGCCGACAGGGGGCTTTCTCAAATTGGGAGACCCCTGAAGGTGGCTGGCTTTCTCTTGGTATAGCCCAAAAGGGACCCCTACTTTGAGAAACGCCACTGTTTGACACAAACACTTCACCATCACGCCAACCGTTTTTGCTTTTTGTCAAATTCCAGTTTGGGTATGTGGAACGTTGCTGAGCACATTTGAACAAGTGGCCCGTCGGCGCTCATGTGGTTGGGGCCGCCAATCTTGACACCGAGCAAACTTGTCAAACTAGGAACTGGAAAATACTCAAGGCATCAACACGCATTGTGCAAAGGGAAACACCAAAAAAGAGTGAAATGCAAAGGCTCCCCTTGAAAAGAGCAGCAAACGGGTCTGTACACTTCCGCTGAATCTGCATCCTCATTAGGCACCAAAAAAACGGTTCCAGCATATTCCAGCATATTTCTGATGGAACAATAATTTTCCGTAGGTCCCAAAATTGCCCGCCAAAATTGTCCGTAGCTCGAAAAATTACAACATGTGCGAATGGCCAAGGCAAAAGTTCAATGACAGCTCGTTTCCGGCTTGCTTAGCATGTTGGATTCATTTCCACAAAGCCACAGCGAGAAGCAATCGAGTCAAACATTGGGCCTCACCGCGATGAATCCATCCTAGCGGCCTGGGCGCAGGGCCGGTGACACCGCGACTCTGGGTCACCCGACGGCTGCTGCCAGGTACATGCAAGCGGAAAGGTAGCCTGGGAGTGAAAATACACAAAGCGCCACGGCGCTGCGAAGCTCACCAGGTCACGCCATGCGGATTCCCCCCTACTTTGAGAAACGCCACTGTTTGACACAAACACTTCATCATCACGCCAACCGTTTTTGCTTTTTGTCAAATTCCAGTTTGGGTATGTGGAACGTTGCTGAGCACATTTGAACAAGTGGCCCGTCGGCGCTCATGTGGTTGGGGCCGCCAATCTTGACACCGAGCAAACTTGTCAAACTAGGAACTGGAAAATACTCAAGGCATTCGCATTCAATGGGAAACACCAAAAAAGAGTGAAATGCAAAGGCTCCCCTTGAAAAGAGCAGCAAACGGGTCTGTACACTTCCGCTGAATCTGCATCCTCATTAGGCACCAAAAAAACGGTTCCAGCATATTCCAGCATATTTCTGATGGAACAATAATTTTCCGTAGGTCCCAAAATTGCCCGCCAAAATTGTCCGTAGCTCGAAAAATTACAACATGTGCGAATGGCCAAGGCAAAAGTTCAATGACAGCTCGTTTCCGGCTTGCTTAGCATGTTGGATTCATTTCCACAAAGCCACAGCGAGAAGCAATCGAGTCAAACATTGGGCCTCACCGCGATGAATCCATCCTAGCGGCCTGGGCGCAGGGCCGGTGACACCGCGACTCTGGGTCACCCGACGGCTGCTGCCAGGTACATGCAAGCGGAAAGGTAGCCTGGGAGTGAAAATACACAAAGCGCCACGGCGCTGCGAAGCTCACCAGGTCACGCCATGCGGATTCCCAAGATTTTTCGGGTCAAGACTGGGAGCGCTTGCCACAAGCCAAAGCTGATCGATGGTCTTGGTGGTCAAAGCCCTGCCAGGTTCCGTCCTGCGCTGGGGCTTCTGCCGTTGTGGTCCTTTAGGATGTGCTTTGAGCGCACCATGCTCTGCCAGTACCTGCAGTCCCCACTCTGACCGCATCCAGCAAATGCCAACCATTTGCTTCTGAACATATCAATGGTGAGGCAGAGCGCTCAGTGTCTTTCCGTTGTTTCCGAACAGTTGAGACATCGCTTGTCGCTTTTCCCAGAGAGAACTTACTGCTGCCACCCATAATGACCATCGACAACAGCCCATTTGCATGATAGCAATTGATGCATCCCCAAGCACCAAACAATGACATTCCTACCCCATTTGCTTCCTGATTTGACTCTAGTTTTACAGCATGTGTAACATGATAACGTACTAATATTCCGGGATTCCGGCAACTTCTTGCTTTCAAGAAATGGCGCCAAAGGAGGGTTGGTCGCCAATACATTCACACACAATTTGCAGTCGTGCGCGGAAAGCAGTCTTTTGGTGGCCGTCGTACGGTTGCAGATTTGCCGCAACCCTCCTTCTTGACAGGCTTGGCTTCAATACCTGCATTTGTTTGTGTTTATGTGTGTGTTTGTGTACTCTCTCTCTCTCTCTCTCTCTCTGCGTGTGTCCGGAACTAGCCGTTTGTCGCCAAATCAGGATACCATTTGCCGTATCAGTCTTGTACATGGTCTCAAGCCGGCCGCTTGAACACCTTGGCAAACACTCCATCTGCCCAAACAAGGTCTTAACATGTTGGCTGCCTTGTATCATTACGCCCATACCCACCGAATTCAATAACATTCAAACCTCAACGTGGCCTGCAAGGTTCCACCACATTGGGTTGCATCAGGCAGAAGCCTTGAAATCAATCTATGCTTTGGTTGTCACTCAGATCGGCAAGGACACGCTAGATCATTTTGACACGAGCAGCAACCGCGCATCATGTCTGCCTTCACTCTGCTGGAACGGCATTTCTGTGGGTATTTTGCTTGGGTTGTAAAGTGACCCAGAGGGACACCACGCATCTTTGTTTGGGCCACCCACCCCTCCCTCTCTGCTCACGTCAGGGTCAAGCCGTGGACGGGATTCATCACCAATGCCCAGGCCTCGCAACAAGTGTTGCTTGTGCTCCCGTCCGTGTCAAAATATGGCTGTGGGTCAAAACCAATGGAATCCCATTTTGGGGTAGGTGCACCACCCATTTTACTCTATTTTAGTGCAAATTGGGATGTTCACTGGGGGTACGGGATTTTGACCCATGGCCATATGTGTCCAAAGGCTGCACAGTTTTTCGAATTTGTCTGAAAACATGAAATGACCGCGGCGGAACCAACCTTCGGCTCAAAAGGTCGAACTCTGCCAGAAGCCATTGGCAAATCGATTTCAAGATACATGCATATTCTTGAAAGTTACATGTATTGGCCCCTGAATTTCAGCTTGCCCGGTGGAGCGCAATCAATTGGAGGCTGCTGCTTTGCACATAGTTTCAGCAAAACAACTGACATGCCGAAAATTGGATTTCCAGATGGGTCAAGGACAATTGAACCCCTCATCATTCAACCTGTCGGCCTGTCAACCCATGGCTTTCCTCAAGAACAAATCAGGGTTCCGTCATCATCGAGGTGCTGCCTCTTTGGGCCTTGGGTGCCCGGGCCGTCCACCACATCACTCGGCGCAGCCACAGCGATAGCCACAAGTCGCGCAACAGCGCCTCCAACGTGCCAGAATGGCAAGGCCATATTGGATTCTGCGGTGTGCAACTGCTAATTTATTTTCTTTGTTTTTCTTTTTGATTTTCTCTTTTTTTGAAAACACATATTCGGTGTGGAACATGCTCCACGGTCGTCGGGTTCTTGCGAGAAATCTTCTTTTGCACACACGCACACACAATGCTTGAAGCAGGGCATTCAGCACAGGCTTCCCAAAGTTGTGTCCGATACATGATTCAGCAAGACGTGGACCAGTCTGGGCCTTGAAGGTGCCGAGTACGCCAATCTTGGAGCCTGTGCCACGGGTCGGTCTTGCAGCCTGACGCGTTGCCAAATCTAGATCCACTCAGGAGTAACTTTGTTTGGGCTCGGCTTCCAATTGGATTGGTCGCTCAGTGGAAGCTTTCCGAGGCACCTTTGGTCATTTGGCAGGCCCGGGATACTTGACCCAGTCTCATTGAAATCGCTGTCGCATTTCCCGGTCTAAGCGATGCGCCGGTGGAGAGCAAGCGCTCATCCTCGGTTTTGCAGGCCCTGTGTTCTCTCTCGAAGGCAAAACCTAGGAGCTAGTTGCCAGTGATTGGCTGGACATTTGGGAATCGGATGGGCTCAAACATGGAGAACCCAGACAAAAGCACGCACAGCCCTCTGGCTAAGTCGCCTGCCAGATTGGAGCCCACCTTGGCACATGCGAGAGAGAGAGAGAGAGAAACTCAAAACTCTAATCGGAAAGGGAAACACAAGTGCAAATTGTCTGCTTGCCCCACTAAAATGGTCTTTCCGCAAAGCATATCGCAGGAAGTGCGAGAGAAGCAGAGAGACAGAGAGAGAGAGAGAAGCAACAAAACAAAACTGCCATGTTCCCGCGACAAAACCATTTGGTTGAAGGAAGCATTGACCACCTTTGCATTTGACCCTTGGAGCATTCACTGCTTAATTTCTTGGGGATTGCCCTTTCTCTTTGGGCATAAGGTTTGCTTTCGGTCTTCCTGCAAAATGAAGCGACCTCGGTTTTGAGACGTCCACTTGTTTTCCGGTTTGAGTCCCTCCCTTGTCCGAGCCGCTAATCTGTGAGCGGAGGTTGGCGTGGCAACGATTGGAGGCCTGACAGGCCGGGCGGTGCCCTGCTCTCGTTGTGTCCACAAACCGCCATTTTGTCTCTTGCGCTTATCACAGAGCACTTTGAAGTTTCAAGGGACAAGTTTCAAGAGCCTATGAGTCTGCCAACACGCATGCAGCTGTTTGCGCCTAGTTCAGGGCGTACCTCCAAAAGACACTTTGATAAAAAAATCAAATACGGAATTGAGCCACCACAGGGTTTTCAGATGTTTTTAGGCTTCAGATGAACTGCCCGCTGGCCCCGGGCCTTGGAGCCAAAGGCAAGGCAGCAGCGCAGAGCAGCGACAACGCCTGAAAGGCTCAACCACGGGGGTAGAAATCGGGTGGAGACTGGACCAAATTTGCACCCTTGGGCTGTTGCTCACCTGTGACCGACTCGCAGAATCCGGACAGAGAAACAACCTCTGTATTGCAGTGGTTGACAAAAACAGGATTCCCCCCCCTGTTTTGGCTGACCCGTCATTGTGTGCCGCCTGTACAGGAGCTTGTTCAGCACACAAGCTAGAGGCCATTCGACCCTTCCCGAAATCTTCGCCTTGCATCTGCCTAAGGAGCTTGTTGCCGTGCGGGATTGGCCTGCCCAACGAAGGACAGGTTGAAGAGCAAGCTCAGTGGACTGCCCATGTCCTCCGGGCTGGGTCAAGGCAAAACAAAGGCATAGCAAAACTAACAAGCTCAGCTTTTGATGTGACTCTGCTTCATGCAAACGAGCTGGAACAAAGACGTTCCCAGTCTGTAATGGCTATTGCAACATTGGCTCTGAGCTGAAGCCCCTCTTCCGTCGGTCCCGAAGTACTTCGCCCAACGCGGCAGCGCAGCAGTTGGAGAAAAGTGTCACCTGGCCCAGCCCAAGAGATTGGCCATACGAAAATCCCAAAGGTCAATGAGACTGAGACGCTATGCAAGGGACATTTTGAAAATCGGAAGAGGCAAGAGGCCAAAAGAAAGACCAGCTTCGGACGCTTGCCGTGCCGCGTTCGAGGCCATATCCAGTAAAGCAGCTTGCAGCATGTGTCAATGTTTGGACCGGAGAGTGTCTGTGCTTAGCACCCCTTTTTGTTGTAACTCAGCTGTTTCTATGTAGGCTTGACTCTGCAACCATATGAGTTCTTGCCGGTGACCACCCAAACCGAGTCACACACATACACACATGCAATCCTCAAGTAGTTGTTCAACATTTGCCGGCTCTGTGAAGCCTCGCGGTCCACGCAAGGCACTCCGAAACCTGGAAGGTATAGCCTTCATGACACAAGAGGATGCGTCAAATTTGGTCGGATTCACGACAGATGCTTTGAAGAACATGCCATTCACAAAGCTCAGTTTGTCGACGCACTATGCTAAAACCAGTTGACTTCTGTGGGTTGGGTGTATTGAAATGCTTCACATGGAAACCACAAGTACACACCACTGCCGGAAATGGCCGGTGTAGCTGGGCGATGGGGTGTAACTCACCACCATTTCTCTACGACCGTAGTCTTCCCCACGAAGGGCTAGCGAGCTGTCACCCGTCACCCAAACCGGTCCCGAGTTCACTTCGGAGTGCTCCCCAAAGTGCAGCTTGCGTGGGCTATCAACTATTCTGAGAACGTGGTCCCCTCAAAAACGCGCCAGGTCCTCCGCCTTCAGGGTGTGTATCGCTTCTTGAAACCGGGACGGCAGCGACCTTGCCCGGTCGCCAGCTGCACTTATGGGACATCAGGCGATTGGTGCTTGAGGGGCCTTTTGCAAAGAGCCTTCTACTTTTAGCAAGAAAGGATCGCATGGTCATTGGTGGTGCTGGGCTTCCCATTGTCCCCCCCAAAAAAGATGTTGTTGCGATTCGAAGAGGTCAATTTCCAATCTTCACACATGCCCACGCCCTGGGGAAAGGTCCGAATTGGGCCCATGCCAATGCGCGTGTAAAATGTAAAGCTTTTTTGGGTAGACATGACCAACATCTAAAGGCCCATTTTGTGTAGGTCGTTCAACCTATACTGAAGAAACAAGTCGATGCTTTTGGCTTCTGGGTGCCTGGCATGGCAAAAGCCATGGACGCCACCGAGATCCGAGAAGCGAAAGCCGCGGACACGGTGAACTGCGAGGCCTGCGTTCGCACAGGTTGACTCTCTTCATCGACGTGTTTGAGGTTTGCCATCGTGTTCTTGGCGCCCAACATCGGTCGAGCTTCAAGTTCACAAGGGGGCCCTCTGTCAGCTTCCACGCTTGCTTCGTGACCGTGACTCATCAAGGGCCAAAGTCAGCCAAATTGGGCGTTGCCCACAGTGGTCCGACGAATGTGAAAGGTTTTCCTCGACTTTTTAACCCCCATGACCATCCATTTGATCAGGCTCCAAAACTTTGAGCAACTGCAGAGTGCGGCCAAAAGGCCGCGCACGCATTAGCTCATGCTATCCAAGCAAATCAGGCATGCCTCGCGACATGCGCGCTTGTGTTGAACGGCAGCGGGCCGTGCTTGGCCGTTGAAATAGATGCATGCGCCTTCTCTCTTTGGCCCCTCGTTGCTGCCAGAAGTGAGCAGTGACAGTTTTCTTGATTTGAACATGGGTTTCACCTTCTCGGCCAGAGCCCCCTGCGGGGCAGGCAAATCCAAACCCTTGCGCCATCCTTGGCGGCGTGAACTGAAGCCGTCTCCAACCCCTGCTTCCCCTCTGTGTGACGCCGCGCCGAACCTTCCTCTTGAATCGCCGAGGCAAGGCCCTGACTCAGCCCAGAGACTGGGAGGCGTTTGCGCCACAGAGCTGCCCACGCATGCTACACGAAGGAGCTGGCCATGTTGCGCCGAGTCTGCGCAAGACCTTGCCATGGATGAAGTGTACGAATGACGTGGAATTCCCGTGGAGAATTTCAGACAAGGGATTTTCAATTAACAAGAGCTTCACAAGGAACCTCGCAGGACACTTCTCCATGAACTTCAAGGGACACTTCGCCTTGGCAAATCTCGTGATGCCCGGAGCGCTCACAAAGCAACATGACCAGCTCGCTGAGGCTATTCAAGGAGCCCAGGCTCCTTCCCGTGTCCCATACAGATCTGCAAAACCATGACTGCATCTTCTCCGGCTTGCATATTGCTGCAATTTGCTCACGATGCTATCACAGTCTTTCGCGCTAGTTCTGCAGCCCTTTGCCTTCGCACATCCCTTGAACCGCTCCCACATGCCCGGGCACAGCTTCGAATTACGACACTTCACTTCAACTTCACTCTGCGAGGGGCTTGGCCATAACCCTTGCTCCTGCAAAATGCCGCGCCGCACTTGGCATAACCTGCCTGCAGCAGCCACAGCGCAGTCCCAAAGCGCGTGAGCAGAACCTCAGTTCGCACCGCGGCACGAGCATTCATACTTTTCATCCAAACGTCGCATGCGCCCTAATTAATATGTTTTTTACCTTTCTCTCCCTGCCTCGATAGGGAAATGAAGGGACCCCTGAAAAAGGCTCTACACTGTGCGCAAACACCTCAGGCGCTTTCAAAAAGGTCACAGCGCGGCACTTTTCCGAACTCGCCGTGCGGCATCTCCGCCCTTTGGGCAAAGAGCTGTACAGTTCGTTAAGCTCCCTGTCAAACAAGGCGACTCCGGTGACTCCCTATCCTGTCTGAACGAAAGCCATATGAGGCCATGAATCTGTGACCATTTGCAGGGGTCCATTCCTGTTGCCACATAGCAAGACTTCCGTCACTTCTGCCGAAGACCGGCATGGGTGCCTGCACCCCGTGGACAATAGTGGATACTGCTCCAGTTGCCTAGTTCTCCATGCGCCAAGATCGGATTGCCGTTTTTGCTCGTTGATTGAACACAAACAACAGCAGCTTTATCTATTTACTTGTGCAATGTCATGCCTGATCTCGTATGAAACCCTTATCAAGGAGCACAACAATAATTTTCTGCACGACTGGGAATAGGCTGGCAGTACCCTTGGAAGAGTCTCTCTGGCATCCAACCGGCTTCAAAGCTACGGCTCTCAACGGCCCCTCGCCCATGGTCACAGTCTGGACGTGGATGGAACCGAGCTAGCTTGGCGTGCCTTGCCTGGCAAGTTTACTTGTGTGGTTTCCAAGTCGCATCTGCCAATCTGTGCCTTGCTTACAAGTTGTTTGTTGAATGTCAGGATGACAACTAGTCTAGTTTCCGCATAGACGGTGGTTGAGATAATGCGTCGAAGCTCCTCTCTGGCAACCATCCAGCAGTTTGACTGGTCCATCAACCACTCCAACAATTCTGGCAAAAAGGACTCCCTGCACAGTTTAACATGTGCAAGATACCGTGCTGTCCGGTTGAGCCAACCCTGCACAAAGTCCCAATGTCCTTCGAGACAGTGATGTGCACAAGTTGGCCCCTGCCCCCACCCGGTCTGGCAGTGGATGAGGGACATTTAGATTCCACTGAAGCTGTCAGGATTCCCGGAGTATCAGAACCAAACCTGATCTCACTGGCAGAAATCCATGTAAGATCTGCAAGGCCATGGGAACAAAGGAAAGCTTACCTTGGTGAACCGTCCCCCGAGCTTCGGTAGGTTTTGGCTGAAAGTTACCGGGTCGGCCTTGAAATCTTTTGCCTCTGGCTTCCACATTTTGCAAAGGATGCTTGGGATCCACCTCACGAACCAGCAATGGGTGACACCAAGAGGTCAAATGGGTCGATTCGCTTCGAAATTGAGAGCGTCCTACAAGCCTCCACACATGTTAAAGTACTTGGAGTAGATATTCAACCGCTCTCGACTCATTTCAGGTTCCTCGATCTAGATCAGGCATGTCAGTCAAACATTCTGCTCCTTTTAATGCCAACACAACTGATCAGCAGCTGTTCCAGGTAGGGCAATTGGTCTCCTCAGACTCCCTGGCAAGTCCCGGCACCTGCCTGGGGAGCTTGTCATGAACATCCCCATGCTTAGTTCCCCTCGGTTTTAGGGAAGGTGCACGTGTTTGGATTCTTTGGATAGGTCAGGGCAATGACTCCTGTGTATAACAACCAGATAATCAGAGAATTGGGTGACATGATCATCTCGATGAAAGTTGGATTTCTGTCACGGGATTCCTCGACTTTCTAGAGATTCCCTTGCCAACTACTCCTTTGACTTACGTCCGGTTCCATGAGACACTTCTGCAACACACACACACATACAAACACTCAATCATCACATATTCTAGCAAGAGCTACACCTAGCACATGTCTTATCTCTCGCACCCACCCACCCGCACCCGCCCGCCCTCCCGCCCGCCCACCCACGCACCAACAGGCTGATTGTCTCCCCGGCCTGGCACATCTGCCTGAGCTCGAACGGCCAAAGGAAGGACATGGGTCCAATAGGGAGACGTACCTTTTGACCATTTCCTTCAGGGAAAGAAAGGGTTCTTCCTTTTGTTCCTCAGTCTTTTTCTCCTTCAGGTATCCCTCGCACAACGGGGTTTGGATTGGTAGAAACTGAAAGGCTACTAATACAACTTTAGGCTTGGCCTGTTTCGGTTCTCAGCGGCCAGCACAAGTTTCCTCTGGACCCAAGCCTGAGCTTGGGATCAGTAGAAATCCTGTTTGGGGATGAATGAAGCTGAGTGTCCTTAGGGCTGATATGGGCTGATATTCCAAAAGGAAGACAAAGGGGAACCCTGAAGCTAACCCCAGGACAACCAACGCTGCAATTCCGAGCCGCCCCGCTACGCCATCCTTGGCATTTCCCATCTACTGAGCAAACAAGCAAAACCCGGTTTTGCACCCCAATGCGTGTGCTTTGGGCAACAGTCAGGACACACATGTCAATACCCCGTTTATCTTGTGACTAAGCGTGGAGGGAACTCCAAGGCTGGCGAACTTGACTGTGGTTTGATCGATGCAACCAAAAGAACCAATGGACAAAAAGGGGTGAAATAAAGAGGTGGGCTGGCCAACGAGCAGGTCAACACGTGTTGGTTACCCGGTTGGTTGACTCAGTTGATTGATGGAGATGCACAAAATTGTTGAACAACCAAGCGGTAATCATGGATTCAACGTGCCAAGAGGTGCCATGGCCTGACCCGGTAGAAACGTAGCGATCGGTTCGCCGACCGTCCTCACCAGCGGTCGCCCTGGAATCTTCGCACGTCGATACGTCAAGGCAGATTGCTGCGTAGATCTGTGACGCTGCTGTTCAAAAGGGGTCCTCTAGGCCACGGTTGGATTGAGATAGAAATTATCAAAACAGGTGGACACAATGTGCTCTTAACTACCTCCTCTCTCAAGTTACGCCTCACCATCATTGGCATGTGCTTAGGTCACCTTGCTTTGCTTCTGCTCATTCATGGGTGGGTCTACAGAAAACCGCGGGCTCGGTATTGTCCAAGATTGCAAACAGAACCTCTCAAGTCTCAAGTAGTCTGGTTTGCTTCTGGGTCTTTCTCGAAATCTAAGATGGGAGGTCCCTGTGGTGGACCCGTCCATATTCGTTGGGTGAACCTGGTGACCCTATGGCTGCGTCACCACAACATGGGATTCTTTTGGGGACGGGCCGGAAGGGCAACCAACAGGATTCGCCAAACAGCGAAGGGAGCAGATCTAATTTTAACATGTTCTCCAATGGGTTCGAACAAATGACGTTCAGGGTGCTGCTCATTGTGTTCGCATTTCAAGTGATCCCTGCAAACGGAATCCACTTGAACTGCCTTCAACAGATCCCCTGAACATGTTGCCATTCTCAGGTGCTCCGGGTTGGGTAAGCTCCACTCGCCATGCCTCGCGTACTGCTAGGAACCTCTCCCTATTGCGGAGTGAGCGGCAATACTGCAGGCGTGCGCCAGCTCCTTGGAAGACCCCGGAAATCGTTCATGGTTGACACGGCCCAAGGAACTACGGATAGTCTACATGGCCATCTGCCAAAGCAGCTGTATGAATACATGTACATATGGATGAGGATATGCAGCCCACATGTTCAAACAGTGAAACAGCTCCACTAGACGCAATATATTGTATTGAACCCACTCTAGCTGAGCATGCCATCATGCTGCCCTGCTCACGGAGCCCTGGTCAGATATTCAGACTTGTGAAACCAAGTCTTTGAGGCACCGGCAGAAGCAAGCAAACTTATTAATATTTTTGTTATTATCATTACTATTCTACCTTTTCATGAGGAACTTTGTTGGGTCGGGGCCTGCTTACATACTGCAGTGTAAATGGTGAACAGGTTGAGCAACCCATGCTGCAGAAACGGACAACACTACTTTGCAATAGCTCTGCCCCACTCAGTTCTTGTGACGAATATGGAAACTGGGCTTGTCCCCTACTGTCCTCCGCAAATGAAGCATACACCAGACACAGTGGGGTTTAGTTTTAAACAACCCGAACTCCACTGACATGCTCCATCCCGGCGAAGAATGCAGCAGAATGGCGGGACCTTTCTGTTGCTCAACCAAACCAAGATTGATCGCACACGGCACAGAAGTAATCGGGCCTCAGCTATGCCCAAGCATGGCAACCAGGTCTCGGAATTCAACAGTGCAGTCTTCAGCCCAAAACATATTGAGTCGCATTCCTGGTAGGCATCGAATAGAGGGAAATCCCGAGGGCGAAGCAAACGAATTGCTGATTAGTGCTCGTTGCTCTCTGACAGAACAAACTTGTGGTAGCGAGGCAGCCATCTCTCTAGCACACGTGAAGGCTGAGAGAATGCATTGGTACCTGAGAGAAATCTGAGAGAACGCCGAGAGAATGCATGAGTACCTGCGAGACATCAGAGAGAATGCTGAGAGAATGCATTGGTACCTGAGAGAAATCTGAAAGAAAACAAAATCACGAGGATGGTTGTTGCTTTTCAAGAGGCTCCCCTTCATTTTGCCGACACTCCGTGCTTTGCTGAAAGAGTGCGGGCAAGGAGAGACACGGGGCCCTGGTCTTAAGTTGCTCGTCCCCTGCTTACGTGAGCTTGTGCCCTGCTCCAAAAAGGAGATATCCTTGAACGAGTGCAGAATCACCGTTGATCATTTGGAGATGCCCTAATCAATTGTCACACAAATAACAGTCAAATGGCGAAGCACATCAAGATGCTAGCACAATAGACTCAATCTAAGTATTGAAGTCGCACATGGGGCTATTGTTTGGAAGGACGGACCGGTCATTGGAAGCCGAGCTGCTCCAAAAACGCATTTCTCTACAGACTCTGCAGCTGGCAGGCAGAATTTCCGGATTTATCAAGTCCCCTTGCCACAAGCACCAAGCAATCGACACACCACACGTGAGATAAAGTTCAGTCCCCCCCAGCGGTTTTGGGTCGGCGCACGCCAAACAAGGCTCCCGCCTAAGGCCGAGGGGCGAAAAATAACAGGCACACAATGCTCACCAGCAGCTG